AGGCCTTGACGTTGCTCTTGTCGGCGGCAGACAGCACCATGGTTGGTTCTCTCTGAGTCTGTGTCGGGACCAGAAGGTGCGGGGCCGCGAGGGCGCGGAGCCTTTATGCCCCTGGCGCGCGGGGCGCGCCTGCCCGGGCTGCGCTCATTGGCTGGCGCGGGGCCAGGAGGTGCGCTGGGCCGGCGGCCGCCCTCCCTCTCCCGGTTCCGCGCAGGCAGAGGTGCCTTCTCCAATCCGGCCCCCGTGATTCTGGGAAGCCTACACAGGTTCCCCACCCATCTGTCGCGCACCCACGTTCGGCCCCGACCTGGGCTGTTTGCCGGTCGAGAAGGGGAGCACGGCTATTTTCTAAAGTAAAACGAGCTGCTTTCGCACCAGACTTTCCCGAGGACCAAGGGCTGTAGATTGTCCGTGTTAACGTGAAGGTGAAGGAGATAACGAGGGTTGACACCCTCCAAGCCCTCCTGCTGCCACTGGTGGGCCGGCGCTCCTAGGCAGCGCGGGGTTAACAGGTGAAGGCGCAGACCGTGGATGGGGGTGGGTAGTTCGGCTTAGGCTCCAGCATCCTTCGGACTTGAGTGTGGACTGCCACTGGGGCTCAGAGCTCCCTGCAGTGCTCCCCGCACCCGCCGAGACTGCTATCTGGGGAACCTTCCTCATTCCGAGTTGGGAGAGTTTCCAGGGTCCCTGGCCTTATTCCCTGGCCCACCAAGGTTCTGAGCAGAGAGCTAAGATTCCTGCCCTGTTGCTGCTGAGGGGAGAGATTGACCCTGGCGGGCGGGGGTGGGGAGAGCAGGCGAGGAACGGCTTGGCTGGGAGACCTGCAGATACTGAAAGGCATAGGTGGGGCTGGATGGCCAAGTGCCTGCCAGGCACTGAGCCTGCCTCATGATCTTTTAAATTATTTCAAAAGACCCAGCGAGGTAGGGCTTTTTGCTGGTCGTCTGCTCTTCGTTTGCTTTTACATTGATGCGTTAGGCTCCTACGGCCCAGAGACATGTCCAGTGTCACAGGGCTTATCCTGCGAACCGGGTCGGAACCCTGCTGTGTGTGCCTGGTCGTGGCCATCGGGACATCCCACCCCAGTCTCCCACCCCACGGACTTCAGAGAAAGGACCCAACTTGGCCAGGGCAAGGTTTGCTGCAGATTGAGAGTCGTGGGGAGGGGAGGAGGTGCCTGGGGTCAGAGGAGGCCTGGCCCCTAAGTCTGTTTGATCTCAGGCCAGAAACCTGACCCTTGGGCCTGGTGCCCATGTTTGTCTGCAAAAGAGCTGCGAATTCTGAATTCTGGCTCCCAGCTCCCAGTGGGAGGGTTGGAGGAAGAATGAAGGAGTGAGCACGGGAGTGGGTGAGTGCAGACGTGCTTTGGAGCTGGGTGAGAACTGCTCCCAAAGACCCCTGTCATCCTGGCACCCACTCTGCCCCTCCCATTTCCTCCACAGAGGAGGGCAATTGCTCTGTTCAAGCCTTTAGGGGTCCACACCCTGCCCAAGATCCAGCACCCTCAGCCCAGCAACCGCCCTCATTTCAGAGTTTGGAGAGATCCAAGGACCGGCTCCCGGGTCCCTGATTCTTGGTCTGCAAGGGTTCGTGATGGCGCCCTAAGATTCCAGGAGTCTGCGCGTGGGACCCAGAGCTTCTGCCCAGCTTCTCGGCCCACCTGCTCCCCAAAGAACACACACATGCAGGGTCCGGCCATTTGAGGCCTGTTTATTGACACGCACAGACCTAAGCCGGTGGGGCAGGGGACTCATCGGTACTTCTCAGTCAGCACCATGGCTACTTCGGTCAAGAACTTGTCCCACGCCGCCTGCATCTGCACGGTGAACTCGCCCTGCAGGTGGGAGGCCAGCATCACATGGAAACACTGGATCAGCAGCTGTGGGAGGAGGGGCAGATGAGAGGGGGTCTGCTGCAGCCACTTTCTCCTTTAACCCCAACCCCGGCTGCCGGCGCCAAGTCTACCGCGGCGGGGGCGGGCTCACAGGGAAGTTGGCGGGGTCCACGCGTAGCACTTGCGCGTGCAGGTCGGCGAGCGGGCTCAGGGCGGCGCGCAGGTGGTCGGTGTGTTGCACGGCCACGCCCACCGCCTCGAGCACGCGTTGTCCGTGGGTCAGCAGCTGAGCCTCGTCGGGGCAGACGCCCAGGTGCTTGAAGTAGATCTTGGTGCTGGGATAGACCGTGAAGAGCCTGGTGGAGCCGGTCGGTGAGTGAGGGTGGCCGCGTGGGGTCCTTCCGGCGCCGGCACCTCCCAGACACCCGGAACCCCAGCCTGGCCCGCCCCTCTGACTCGGGCCCCCAACCCCTGTGTCCGCCTCCCTGTGACCCTGGAAACCCCGCCTCAACCCACCTGAGCAACAGCTCCGCCCCGAAGGCCGCCTCGTGGCCGGCGATCAGGTCCCAGACCTGCGCTACGTGGGCGCGCTCTTGGGCGCTGAGCATGGCGCCTGCCGGGCGTGCGCTGGCGGCCCCACCCGCCGCTCCCGCCTCCTTATAGCAGCCCCCACGCCTTCCAGGCGCCCCACCCGCCCTTATCTGCGGGACCCTCGGCCAGCTCGGGGAAATGCCTCCAGCCCAGGTCCCGATCGCTGCAGAGGCCACGGCCTGGGGCGGGCGGGGCCGGGGGTTACCGGCACCGACTCACGCCGCTGTGTGTGCGTGCTTTTGCTGCAGACTTGCGCGAAATCGGGAGAGCCTCCCCTGCGGGCAGCGTCAGAGCCACTGCAGGAGGGAGCCAGTGGAGGGATTGGGAGAAAGAGCGCTGGGCAGGGACGCTTCTTTTCCGCTAGGGACACGGGAAGCGTATCGTGGGTCCCCGCAGTGCGGGAGCTATGGTGTCAGGCTTTGAGGAAAAGCCCGCTGAGTGCCGACACGCACCACACACGCACGCGACACGCTGAGTAAAGCGACGATCTTTGGGCGATTTGGGAAGCAGGACAGGAGCAAACGCACCTCGGACCCTGGAGAACCAGCCCGGGGCCGATCTACTCTCTCCCGATTCTGGGGTCCGCAGGCGCAGGGATCGAGCCACAGCTCCCTCGGGGTGGCCTCCAGGCCGGTGGTGACGCTGGGGACCATCGCGTTCCTGTGGCTTACGCTTTCTATGCCTCACTTTCTCCCTTCCTTCGGCCAATACTGAGAACGCAGGACCCATTCCATCCGCATCCATTTATTGGGGGCAAAATTGAGGGAAGTTGCAGGGGCAGGGGCGGGGTCACAGCCGGCCCCCGGCCTGGCGGCGGCGCTCAGCGGTACTTCTCGGTCAGGACGCAGGACACGATGGACAGGAACTTGTCCCAGGCGGTATGGGCGTCGGCCGTGAAGTCAGCGGGGAAGTGCGAGGCCACCGTGACCAGCAGACAGTGGGACAAGAGCTGGGGGGCCGGGAGGGCGGCTCAGCGCGAGGCCAGGGTGCTCTGCGGGGGCTCTGGGGTGGGCGGAGCACCTTGGCGCGGCCGAGACCCTGTCCCGCCCCGCCCCCCCTCGCCCCCCCCCTCCCCGCCTCGTCCCCGCCAGGACCCCGGCCCCCACGCGCACCTTGAAGTTGACCGGGTCCACGCGCAGAACGTAGGCGTGCATCTCACTCAGCTTGGACAGGGCGCCCGCGATGTTGTCGATGCTCCTGACCGCATCGCCCAGGGCGGCCGCCACCTTGGCGCCGTGCGTGCGCAGGTGCGCGGAGCCCGGGCGCAGGTCGAAGTGCGGGAAGTAGGTCTTGGTCTGGGGGTAGCTGGCGAAGAGCCTGCGGGAGGGCGGGACCTGAGCATTGGAGGAACGTGGGCCCCCGTCCACCTCTCTACGACCCCTGCGTCCTTCTCCGAGCTTGAGGACCCAAGTGCGGCCTCACCACCGCCCTGGGGCCTTCCAGCTCAGCAGGTGCACCACCTCCTGAGGTGTGCTGTGCTCTGACTGCTGCCCCTCCCCCAAGCTGCACCCCATGGTCCCAAGGCCTTCTGCCTCCACACCCTCCCAGCACCCAGGCTCGCCCCTGCTCCCCACCTCAGCCAGGCTCTTCCAGGGTCTCCTTGCTCCCAGCTGGCCCTGCACACCCACCGTAGGCCTCCAGCCCGTTTTCACCTCTCCTCCGGCCACAAAAACCTCCTTCCCAACCCCTGACCGGGCTCCTGCTGTACCTACCGTCTGTCAGAAATAATGCCACCTGCAGGCACATTGCAAGGGAGATCTCTTAGGGAAGCCACCTGGGACCACCTTGCCCCAGGATTAGAGACCCTGGTGCTGGTAGATGCTTGACTGCCTCCTTAGGCATGTCAGGTGTTGGGGGAAACACATCCACACCCCTCTGGTGAGATGCTGGGCCTGTGCTTGTTCAGGACTCAGTGAGCATAGGGTCCATCAGAAGTCTGTGCAATTCATCTGCCCCCCTCACTGACCCCTTTCTCAGAGAACCCCCACCTCGCTGACCCCTCCTTAGGGACCCTTTCCGCCGAGAGCCCTCTCCTCACTGGCCCCTGTCCTCACCAACTCCACACTGTCACCTACGGGGCTCCACCCCAGCCCATCTGGCACTCACCTCTCCAGGGCCTGGGTGCCAATGGCATCCGCCTGAGTGGAGATCTTGCCCCACATGGACAGGATGATGGTCTTCTCAGCCTTGGTCAGAGACATGGTGGTGGCTGAGCTGGAGCCGGGTGTGCCCAGGACTGGCCTCTGTGTGCTCACCCCCCGGGATCCCTTTATACACACAGAGCCGGGGTGGGGGCCAGGC